TGGAAAACACTATGGAGTTTCCCCAAAAAGTTAAAAATAGAACTAGTCTACATTCCAGGAATTGTAATACTTATACCCCAAAATACAAAAACACTAATTCAGAGGGATACATACACCCCTATGTTTACAGCAGCATTATTTACAATAGCCAAGATATAGAGGAAGCCCAAGTCTTCATCAATTAATATTATTAATATTATTGGAATGGAATATTATTCAGTCATAAAAAGAATGAAATCTTGCCACTTGCAATGATATGGATAGTGACAGAGAGTATAATGCAAAGCGTGTCAAATAAATCAGTCAGAGAACAAATACCGCGTGATTTCACTCCTGTGTGGAATTTAAGAAACAAAACAAACAAGGAAAAAACGATCCATATCTTATCTATAGGAAACAAAGTGATGGTTAACAGAAGGAAAGTGGATAGGGAGATGGGTGAAATAGGAGATAGAAATTAAAAAGTGCACCTGTCATGATGAACACTGGGTGGTGTATGAAAGTGTTGAATCCCTATATTGCACACCTGAAATTAACATAATGCTGTACGTTAACTAACTGTAATTCAATAAAAACTTTTAAAAAATCCAAAGGCCCTTAAGAATAATTGTAAATCTACACTACCCATGGTCTAAAAATGGTGCAATGCCTGAATGATGCTATAGCTGTTTAAAATATAGTTTACTGAATACTGGAAGCCCACTGCTGAGACCTACAGTTCAGAAACAAAATAATATTACTGCTTATTGACAATATTCATGGCCTCACAAAGACTTAGTTGGAGACTTTGTACATGAAATTCATGTTGTCTTCATGTCGGCTAACACATCTATTCAGCAGCCCATGGAACAATGAGTCATTTTAACTTTCAAATATTATTTAATAAATACATTTAACAAGGCTGCCATAGACAGTGATTTCACTGTTTAGTCTGGAAAAAGTCAACTGAAAACCTTCCAGAAAGTATTCACCACTCTTGATGCCAGTAAGAACACTCATGATTCCTGGAAAGATCAAAATATCACCATTAGAGGAGTTTGAGAAAAGCGGATTCCGTCCCTCATGGATGACGTTTAGTTCAAAACGTCAGTAGAGGAAGTAATTACAGATGTTGTGGAAATAGCATAAACACTACAATTAGAAGAAGAGCCTGAAGATGTGACTGAATCACTGCGATCTCACCATAAGACTTTAATAGAGAAGCAGTTGCTCCTTATGGATGAGCAAACATAGTGGTTTCTTGAGATGGATTCTCCTCTTGGTGAAGTTGTTGTGAAGACTGTTGAAATGACAGCAAAGAATTAAGATTATTACATAAACAGTTGGTAAAACAACAGCAGGATTTGAGACAACACCAATTTTGAAAAAAGGTCCACTGCGGATAAAATGGTATCAAACCACATCACGTGCTACAGAGAAATTTTTTCTGAAAGGAAAAGTCAATTAATTTGGCAGACTTCATTGTTGTCTTATTTTAAGAAATAGCCACAGTCATCAGGAACCACCATCCTGATTAGTCAGCAGACATGAACATTAAGTCTAGACTCTCCTCCCGCAAAAAGATTACATACAACTCACTGAACGCTCAAATGATGCTTAGCACTTTTACCAATAAAATATGTATAAATTAAGGTATGTACATTTTTAAGACATAATGCTTTTACATACCTGTAGACTATGGTATAAACATAACTTATAGGCACTGGGAAACCAAAAAAATTATTTCGCTTGCTTTATTGTACTATTTACTTTATTGCAGAGGTTTGTACCTAAGTCCTACAATATATCCAAGATTTGCCTTTATTGTGTTTCTTCAATTGTGATATTTGCATATCTACATTCAAAAGAATAAGATTGAACCTCTACATCATACCACATAAAATTTAAAATCATTCATAGACCTAAAAATAAGAGTTAAAATTATTAAACTTGGTGCCTGGGTGGCTTCCTTAGTTAAGTGTCCAACTCTCAATTTTGGCTCAGTTCTCATGGTTCTGAGATCAAGTCCTGCATTTGGTTCCCCAATGAGCATAGAACCTTCTTAAGATATTTTTTCTCTCTCTCTGTCCTGCTTGCTCACTAAAATAAAACAAAATAAAAATGAAAAGTACAAAATAAACTATAAAAATACTGTAATAGAACACAGAAGAAAATCTGGTGAGTGGGAAGATGGGCTAAATGGGTGATGGGCATTAAGAAGGTCACTTGTTGGGATGAATGGTCAGTATCACATGAAAATGATGAATCACTGGGTTCCACTCCTGAAAACAATATTATACCTCATATTAACTAACTTGAATTAAAATAAGTAAATTAAAAAAAAACACAGAAGTAAATCTTCATGACCTTTTGATAAATGCATTATCAAAAGCCCAAGGAACAGGAAAAAAAAAAAGATAAAAGATAAAATACATCAAAATAAAACCTTTATGCTTCAAAGGACCCCATCAAAAAATTTAAAGACAATTCATAGAAAATATCAGTTATTCATATGTTGATAAGTGTCTAGTACCCAGATCATATAAAGAACTCTTACAACTGAACAATAAAGTGATAAATAACTCAAATAAAAAAGACATTTCTTCAAAGATAATATACAAATGGTTATTAAGTTTATGAAAGTATATTCAACATCATTAATTATTAGAAAATTGCATTTGAAAACCACAATGCAATACTGCTTCACACTAATAGCATAGCTATAATTTTAAAAATGGACAATAACAAGCATTGGAGATAATGTTGCAAACATTGGAAGGCTCATGTATTACTCAGGGAAATGTAAAGTGGTGCAGTTACTATGGAATATAGTTTGGCAGTTTCCCAAAAAGTTAAATATAGAGTTACCATATGACCAGCAGTTTTACTCCTAGGTATATACCAACAAGAATTAAAAATGTGTTTAAACATTAATTTTCACATGAGTTTTCATATCAGAATTATTCATAATAGCTAAAAGGTGGAATTAATCCAAGTGTCCATGAGTGGACAAATGTATAAACAATGTAATACATTCATAAAATGTATTACTCAACTATAAAAAGAGGTACTGATACATGCTAAAACATGGATGAACTTTAAAAAACATTAATTGAAAGAAGATAAAATCAAAGACCATATGTTTTATTATCTGACATATGAAATATCAAAAATAGGAAAATTAATTAACATAGAAAGTAGATTAGTGATTGACAAGGATTTGGGGGAAAGGAAGATGGGGAATAACTGCTATAAGTAGAGATTTGTTTTGAAGAGTGATTAAAATATTGTGGAATTCCATAGTACTGTATATAACATTAGACACTGTAAGTCTATAAAAAGTAAAACATGGAAGAGGAAATAGAGAATATGGTGAAATAGATTATAATTTTAAAGAAGTTACTAAGGAAAAGCTTAATGAAGAAGGTGACATTTACCTCAAGACCTGAGACAGCTGCATTGGGGGGCCTTGCAGATATATCTAAATCCCAGATTCTAGTGGAGGAATAGTGTAATGTCTTTGAGGCTGTAAAATGTTCAAGGGACCCCAAGGTGATCAGTGTGATGACTGAGAGCAAGGGCAGGAGTAATCGGCAATGAGTTCAATGGGAGGTAAGAGAAGGAGATTAACAGCTCTAGAACGTTGTAGGTCACTGTGAAGAAATTCACTTTTACAGTGAGCTAATTAATGGGTATCACTTTAAAACTTTGAGTATAGCAAGAACATGATCTGATTATTTTTTATAAATCTACTCAAACTGCTCTGTTAAGAAAAACTGAACACGCAGTACAGGTGGAAGCATGGCTCAATGATCTGGTTAGTGCAGCATTTCAAATGAAGTCATCATGGATTTTTTAAAGAGTGGACACAGTTGACACCATTGTCAGATTCTAAATATAATTTTCACATATAACTGGCAGGGTTTTTAACATATTGGATGTGGGTGAGATAAAGAAGGGGTGATGATAAACAACATGATGGTTGTATCATGCTGCATAGTAGGCATCCAAGTGATTAAGTTAAACAGTTAGAAATTATTAGTCTACCACTTTGCTCTCTCATATAATAGCCACTAACCGGGTGGCAATTTGAATTTAAATTAATTAAAATTAAGTAAATTAAAATTTAGCTTTCAGTCTGATTGGCTAGATACATTTCAATTGTACACTAGTCATATATGGCTAGGGGCTATCATAAGGGAAAGTGTAAGTATGGAATATTAACATTATTATTAAATTTTCAGTACATGGCATTGGTTTGCAGTTCAGAACTAGGCTGGGAATACGTATTCTGGAATTATACACATGATATTTATAAATGAAAAGTTGGCTAAGAACACCAAGGGAAGAAAATAAATAGGTATGAACATTGAATCCTAGGACATTTCAAAAGCTAGAGATTATGGAAGTGTAAAAAAACCACCGAAAGGGGATTTAGAAAAAGAACTAAGAGATAGAACGAACATAGCAAGGGTTTATTATTATTAAGCCAAGGGAAGAAAGTGTTTTTAGAGAGGGGAAGTGATAAATTTGGATAAAGGAAGCAAGTATGGAGTAAATGTCAATGGAAGAAAACATTTTAGGTGAGTAGGTGAAACTAAAGAGAGAAGAGAGTTGAAGGTATGTAAAGGAATGATGCGAAGTCTTCATCAGAATCTTTTCCTCATTAACTAAAGATGATAAAGAAAAAGCAATCGTGAGAGGGGGCTAGTAGAGTATCAAATATAAACTATGTAAGAGAACAAGGAACATATTTCAGATTAATCATTATTATTTTTAAGCAAACACAGTTTAGCTAAGAAAACAAGGTGGGCCTATGTAAATCCGCTTTGAATGTCCTGAGAGTGCTTAAGAACTCTTTAGAAGAATGCAACCAATTTCTTCTTTAAGATTCTGTGTTACCTTAATGCTGTTAACAATGCTGAAACCACAGACATGTCACACAGCAGAGCAGACTGTATTGTTTTTCTGAAATCTAAGAATAGCAATGAGGTAGTGGTGTTTTTGTTGTTGTTATTGTTTTTTTGGTGCAGTGAGGAATTCCTGGGTCAGAAAAAGGGAGCGACACTGATGCTGGACTGAACAAGGGCAGCTCCAGGTGGGTAATAATGATGTCGAAGCACAGCGTTCTTGAACACCTATCATAAGCCAAGACAGTGATTGGAGGAGGTCTCTATACATAGTTATTCCCTATGAAAATGTAATAAAAACACCCCCAAAAATCACAGAGTTGCCAACCCAGTTGGTTAACACATCTGATTTCCCTGTAGGGTATGTGACCTTCAAAAAATTCATCTGTACAAATTCATTGCTATGTAGAACTGTAATATGTCATTTCTTCCAATACAGTAATAATTACTTTATTGAGTTCTTAAATGTGATAGAATTTCCTGGTGGATAGTCCTCCTTATTCCTGTTTCCTCATCAGTTTTGGTCACTTTGCCTGATTCCTTTAGAATACCTCAAAATTTTGATAATTCCTTTTACCATTTCTTTTATAATAAAAAAGAAACTCATTTATATTTTTAAAGATGAGTAATACTATTAACTAGGAATCCTTTATTTTTATTGTTATTAGTTAGGTTGAAAATTTACCCATGAATAAGTACTATTTGCTTTAATATTCTATCTAGTTTTATAAGTGCAAAAAATATTTTTCTACTTTTATATAAATATGGCTTCAAAAATACCTCTCCTATGTGTCTGTTTGGGATTGGTTTGAATGACATATGTCTAAGATTAAATCCTAAAGAGAAAAATGAATGTGTGTGTGTGTGTGTGTGTGTGTGTGTGTGTGTGTGTGTATTGCCCTATCACTGGCTACATAAAGTCAAATTCACAAAGTTTATTAATGCCAGAAGTAAAACTAAGTATAAAAATAAAACACATAGTTTGCTCCCTGGATTTTTTTTTAAGAAAATTGGTAAAATGTTACCAATATGTTTCTTCTCAGTTCAAGCTGACTGCAGAAATTTAGTGAATAAAATTTTTCCTACATGTATTATTTCACTAAATATTATGTTTTTCATATTCGCATGCCTAAATCATATATTTCTTTACAGATCAATAGGGAGGACACATTTTCCATGATTAATGTATGATTTTATCAATGAAGTACAAAATTTCTTGAGTTGAAATGTTTATTCAATTTCTATAAACCCAGTTGACACATACAGGAGAATATTATGGTTCAATTTATAAACTGAAATATTTTCCTCTATTTCATGGGCTATAAAATATGTGATGTCTCAAAAATAATATAAAGCTCTGTAACACATAATTAACGAAATATTACAAACAATTCATATATAGTTTTAATGAAACTACTGTTTTAAAGTGATATTATTTTTAATGAGTGAAATATTAAGATTCAATATGCAATAAATTCATTTCTGATTATGTTAATGATTCTAATTTAATATGTAGCCTTATTTTCCTAAAGTGAAATGACATTTATTTGTACTAAGGACTTCATTGTTACTATTACTATAATTGGACATGAATAGACTGCAAGTTCATCTTCCCTTCATTATACATACTGACACTAGAGGCCAAGTACAGGTCACTTAAAAATATGTTATTTTGTAGCCAGGAACATATTTCTGAATGGAGTTTCAGTTCAGAAGTAAAAATAAAAACAGGCTGCATCCACCTATCTTTTAAAAATATAAATCATTGACAAAAAGTGACAGGTATAAGATGCTCCAGGTCTTAAAATTCAGCTGAGACAGGCAAACCTGTCTTGCTAAAACTTTTGTAGTGCAGGGACAGTAGTCACAAAGAAGTGCATTCTGACATTGAAAGGTGCTAAAGGATATTATGAAAAATTGCCCTGATGATTGCCAATACTGAAGTGTTTTTGAAGAACGACTGGAGATCAAGAAACAGAATAATTCATGCTCAGGAAATCACTTTAAATCTAAGTATATCCTTCATGACACCACACCCAAAAAGCCATTGCTATCCCAACAGCTGAACACCATTGTGCAGTCTCTATGGAACAAACACTCACATTATTGGTGAATTTCATCTTCTTATTGAGGACTTGTCAGGTTCAAACATTATTATAGATAAGAACTGATTGATTTCTATGACCTCATCATATAGTACAGGTCAAAAGGTGATGGATGACCCTGTCTATTAATCATGTAAAAGGGACAACATGAGGTATTATTTTTCTCTTGAGTGGAAAATTAGGAGAGCTGTCAAAAAATACTGACACCGTCAACAATTACTGTAGTGTTTTCCAGTTATTCCATAAATAATGAAGTGTGAATTAGAATACCCCCACAAAGAAGCTTTTTATGACTTTTAAAAAGTTGGCAATACTATTCAAGGTATTATAATTAATCAATGAGCAACAAATTAAAAAAAAATAAAAAAGAAATTCAAGCTTAGGTCAAAGTTACCATCAATGGCTAAATGGAAAGACTGACCCCATGCAAATTTTATGTTTATAAAATATAAATTTGCATATGGGAATTAATACAAGATGTTTTATACTGTACTTGCTAACCTTAGGTCCCATCTGAAGAATTTTTTCTTTATCACCAAGTATATAAGTAGGTGACTATAAGAAGCTAAGTAGCAAGTTTAATTATGTGATGAAAAGAAAATAAAATATTCCATTATTTATGTCAAAATTTGTATTATATTAGAATTTACTTATCCTGTCAATGCAAATACTAAGTAAATCATTAATAATTTGAGACCTCACCCATTCCATAATGGAGAAAAATACTGAATCTCACTATCAAAATCATTCATCCTTTTGGGGCACCTGGGTGGCTTAGTTGGTTGAACATCCAACTTCTGCTCAGGTCATGAACTTATGGTTTGAGTTCAAATCTCACATTGGGCTCTGTGCTGAACACTCAGAGCCTCGAACCTGCATTGGACTCTGTCTCCATCTCTCTGCCTCTCCCCCAATTGTGCTTGCTTTCTCCTTCTTCCTTTCTAAAAAAACAAAACAAAACAAAACAAAACAAAAAAACAGTCATCCTTTCTAAACACTAGAAGGCATCTTTAACAATGTTTCTTTTCTGTAGGGGCGCCTGGGTGGCTCAGTCAGTAAAGTGTCTGACTCTTGAGTTCCATTTAGATCATGATCTCACCATCTTGATATTAAGCCCTGGGTCAGGGCTGAGTATATTTGAGATTCTCTCTCTCTCTCTCTCTCTCTCTCCCCCTTTCCCCCTCTCCTACTGTTCACTCTCTCTCACCCTCTCCCTCAAAATACACAAACAAACATTGAAAAAAAAAAGTGTGTTTTCTGTATCAGTGGATTCCTAAAAGTAATTAAAAGGAACCATCAGAAAACTGAGAGATCTTTATCTATGGTGATTAATTATTCTGCTATGAAAACTCACACTTGCTTTTAAAATAATGATAATTAATCAAAAATCTATAAGGAACTCACCAAACTCCACACCCGAAAAGCAAACAATCCAGTGAAGAAATGGGCAGAAGATATGAACAGACACTTCTCCAAAGAGGACATCCAGATGGCCAACAGACACAAGAAAAGATGCTCAGCATCACTCCTCATCAGGGAAATACAAATCAAAACCACACTGAGATACCACCTCACGCCAGTCAGAGTGGCTAAAATGAGGAAATCAGAGGACTCTAGATGCTGGCAAGGATGTGGAGAAACGGGCACCCTCCTACACTGTTGGTGGGAATGTAAACTGGTACAGCCCCTCTGGAAAACAGTGTGGAGGTTCCTCAAAAAATTAACAATAGAACTCCCCTAAGAACCAGCAATAGCACTGCTAGGAATTTACCCAAGGGATAAAGGAGTGCTAATGCATAAGGGCACATGAACCCCAATATTCATAGCAGAACTCTCAACAATAGCCAAAACATGGAAAGAGCCTAAGTGTCCATCAATGGATGAATGGATCAAGAAGATGTGGTTTATCTATACGATGGAATACTACATGGCAATGAGAAAGAATGAAATCTGGCCATGTGTAGCAACATGGATGGACGTTGAGGGTGTTATGCTGAGTGAAAAAAATAAGGCAGAGAAGGACAGATACCATATGTTTGCACATATAGGAGGATTAGGAAGAATTTAACGGAGGACAATGAGGGAGAAGAAGGGGGGAAACAGTTGGGGGGGAGGGAGAGAGACAAACCATGAGAGACTCTTGAATGCTGAGAACAAACTGAGGACTGATGGGAGTCAGGGGAGGGGAAGGGGGGTGATGGGCATGGAGGAGGGCACTTGTGGGGATGAGAACTGGGTGTTATATACCACTGATTCACCCAACAAAAATTAAAAAACACATACTATATTCCAGGCTCTTTGCCTACGCTGAGGGTAGAAAATAAAGACATAAATTAATCATGAATATATATCTTCAAGCTCAATATTAGAGTGAATTCTTAATATGTATAATAAACCATGGATATCTAATAGGATTCTAAAACTAAATATTTCAATAACAGCGCTTTCCATATTCCCACAGAGAACTGTTCCTGTCTCAGTTAATAATCACGTTGTCCTTCCACGTTGTCAAATCAAAACTACAGTGTCTACCTGGAATCTGCTTTTTTGCACACCCTATATGCTAATGCTGTTGAATGTACTTTCAGAATATGCTTACAGAAGTGAAGTGCACTGATGTGTGCAATTTACATGAAAAGCATTAAAAAAGTAGCAAGGTTGGTAGATAGATACAAAATGAATAAATAAACAGGTATGTAACAAAGCAAATGTAGCAAAATGTAAATTATAAAATCTAGATGGTGGGCTTATGTATGGTCCCTACATAATTCCTTTAACTTTCCTATGTGTTTGAATACTTTCATAATAAAATACTGAGGAAAAATAAATCAATATCATGTTCCTTTTCAAAAGGTGCCGAAGACTGAATCTTCCTCCCAATAACAATTACAGATTCTTGACCAAATATAAAAATTAAAACCATTTCAACACACATAAGACTGATCAAAACTAGATGTAAGCTGGAATGTATGTAAATTTTGAAAACAACATGTCACACTATAAATCTCACTATGACATGAGCACCTGGGTGGCTAAGTCAGTTGAGCTTGGGCTCTTGATTTTGGCTCAGGTCATGATCTCAAGATCTTGGGGTAGAGCCCGTGTGGGGCTCTGCCCTGACAGTACAGAGCCTGCTTGAGTTCTTGTTCCTCTCTCTCTCCCCCCCCCAACCATCTCTCCCCCTCTCTCCTGTTAGCTAGGCATCTAGATAGAAGTTCAATTAAAAACTGATTGCATTTTGAATAATATAAAAATGAAGTTATAAATACATATACTGGTTTTACTTCAAGTTAGGATGTAGAAATCTACAAAAAAAGATGCTGTTGTCATCTTTAACAAGAAAAAATCTCCATAATATAAAAGATTCTAATTTTTTATTGAAACCATCAAAAAATTTAGATGACAAGACAATCAGATGAATGAAATCCCAAAGGATGATAAGTCCCTTTGATGTGAGATGGAAATCATAAATTGTTTCATCTATATAAAAGCATGAAAAGAGTAGGAGTCAGCCGTAAAAATAGGTAAAGACAAAATATCTGAAATTATAATGAAAGTTTCAAGTCTGAGTGTCGGTGAGTATGACAGATCAGATTCAATGAGATACATTCTGACGTGCTAACTCTTTTCCTTAGGCCTCTTTTGGACATTCAAGGGAAAAACTGGAGACCAGAAAGGTGATGTGAAAGAGTGACTTCCATCAAACGGCTGTGCAGGTAATGATTAGCTAAGAGGGGAAGACAGGCATGGAAATGACTTGCTACCCAACACATCTTTCCTATGAAGTATATACTAATCTCTTCTTTGCGAGAGGCAAAAACAAATACACAGACAAAACAAACCTTTTGCTGCTTCCTGTTCCAGGCAAAGATCAGGTCAGCCCGCACTGAAGGAGGGTTTTGAGACAAACGTGATCCCCTGTGGGGAAGGAGCAAGGTCTCTTCCTGCCTTTTCCTCTAGGGAAATTTCAGTGGCGGCTAGAGAAGTCTTATGATGGGTGCTGTCCCATCACCAGCACAATTAGGAAAGCTTATCTGCTGGTGGTAGAGACAGGAAACCATTTCAGGCCCAGATCCTGTTCTGAAACAATGCAGTTATTTGCAGCCACTAGGGGACAGGAAGAAAACTTGATAGCATCCAAGATCCCCAACAGACAGAAAGTGAGACACAAGATCTATATTGCCTTCTTCTATGATGTAGGCAGAACACTAAGGATGGAAAAAGAACACTAAAAAAAAAAAATGCTGACACTCTAGGCTGCACACTAACTAGAATGCATCAGTGACCTACCACTGGAGATACTTGAAGTCAGATGTATATTGACAGTAACTATAGCAACAACTTAACCCAAATTCAGCCTAATTGCTGGCTAAATTGTAACCACTCATACTAAAGGAAAAGCTGCAGCAAAAGAATGCCCGCTTAGGGAAATAGGTAATATTTATCTGCACCTCGACTGTTCTTTTAAATACAATGTGTGGTGATTAAGCCAAAGGAAGACAGAAAAATATTGTTTTAAACCCCCAAAACAGATAAGTCAAATAAAAAACCCAAATTATAAGATATAATCTTAAACTGAATCACACAAAATACTGTAGAAATAAATAAACCACTTTATTATTAAGCAGTGTCTCTCAGATTAGATGTAAAAATCTGCCTAAAACCTGTCTATAGGAAACTCACAAACACATGGAAAAATAAAAGAATGGGAAAATAATTCATACAGACTGTAGTCAAAGGAAAGTTTTGGTGGCTCTGTATATGTTGACAAAATAGACTTTAGAACAAGGAAAAAGAGCAATGATTTTAAAAAAGTATATTGTTTCATAAGAAGATAATTACATCAAGATTCCACTACAGTCCTAAATGTTTATAAACCTAGTTAAGTCATCAAAATCCATAATGCAAGTGAAAAGAACTAAAAGGAGAAACATACAAATCCATACTTAAATTTGGAGATGTCAACACTAATTGATAGAACATATAGACAAAAGAATATTGAATATTACAGACTTACACAATACTATCAACAAATTTACCCTAATTGATATTTTTATAACACTCCACATGACAACAGTAGAATACATATACTTTTCAAGTATACACGTAACATTTACCAAGTTAGCCTATACTCTGGGCTATGTAACAGGTATTATCAAATTTGAAGAGACTAAAATGAGGAGAGCCTGGTGGCTTATTCAGTTAAGCTTCAGACTCTTGATTTCAGCTCTGGACATAATCTCATGGTTCATGAGATCAAGCCCCTGGTTTGGCTCTGCGCTGACAGCTGGGAGCCTGCTTGGGATTCTTTCCATCTCTCTTTGCTCCTCCCCCACTTGTGAGCACATGCTCTCTCTCTCAGAATAAACAAATGTTTATTTTTATTTTATTTTTTAAACGTTTTATTTATTTTTGAGACAGAGAAAGACAGAGCATGAACAGGGAAGGGCCAGAGAGAGAGGGGGACACATACTCTGAAGCAGGCTCCAGCCTCTGAGCTATCAGCACAGAACCCTGCGTGGGCTCAAACCCACCAACCATTAGACCATGACCTGAGCCGAAGTTGGACTCTCAACCGCTGAGTTACCCAGGCACCCCCAGAATAAACATTTTAAAAAGATTAAAGAGACTAAAATCATACAAATTATATTCTTGACCAACTATACTACAAATCGATATACAATGCAATATATATACAATGCAATATATATTATATAAGTTTATATGTATTTATATATAAGTATATATTATTATATAGAAATGTATTTATATATAAATACACATATAAATACATATATTGTCAATATACCATAAGTCAACTATTACCATACTATAAAACAATATAGTAAATATACTACAAATCGATATACAATGCAATATATATAAGTTTATATGTATTTATATATAAGTATATATTATATATAAATGTATTTAATATTTACATATAAGTACATTTATCAACTTATTTATATATAAGTACATATATAAATACATTTATTATCAATATGTTATAAGTCAACTATAAATATACCATAAAACAATATAGGAAATTAGAATATATTTTGAAATAAATGAAGATAAAACAACATGAATTTGCATGGTACAACTAAAACAGTGCTTAGAGGAAAAAATGTAGCATTAGATGTTCATATTACATGTAAACAAAGGTCTCAAATCAATAAACACCACTTTCATATGCTAATAAAATACAAAATTAAGTCCAAAGCCAGTAAAAGGAAAATAATAAAAATAAAAATATAAAACAGAAAAACAATAGAGAATAACCAATGAAAATAAAAGCTAGTTTTTATAGAGTTCAATAAAATTCCTAAACTCCAAAAAGATAAAGAAACTTAAAAGATGTATACATTATTAACATTAGGAATGAAAGAGTAGAAATTACTAATATTGTAAGAATAGTATAGAAGATAAATATTATCAAAACCTTGTTTCACTAAATTAAACTTTTTATGAAAGATTCCTAAGAGGCTGCAACTAATCCATGTCACTTAAGAACAACCTGAATGTCCCTATAGCCATTTTTAAAAAAGTAAATGAATAAATTTAAGAGAAAAAGTATTCTCACATAATATACTTCAGGTCCAATGACTTCACTATCAAATTCCTTCACACTTTTATAGATGTAAAATATATATTACTAATTCTATAAGTCGTCTATCACAAAGTAGATGATGAATGGCCAATACCCATGGCATACTATGGGAACAAGATTATGCTAACACTATATATCATATATATGCAATATATATTGCAATATATATATATATATATATATATATATATGCAATAATATTTAGCTTTCAAAGTAAAGGAAATTCTACAATATGTAACACCATGGATGAATGTGGAGGACAGCCATAGAGAAACAAATACTTATTTGTTTGATTTCACTTATTTGAAATATCTAATATAGTCAAGTTCATAGAATCAAAGAATGGAATAGTGGTTGGCTGTGCCTGTGGGGAGGGTGGAATGAGGAATTATTAATAGACACAAATTTTCACTTAGGCAAGATGAATAATCTCTAGAGGTATGCTGCACAACACTGTACTGATGGTCAACAATAATGTACACTTAAAATTTATTATCACATTATATCTCATATTAAATCTTACCACAATGAAATGTTTAAGAAATGAAAGGAAATGACACCATAAAAAAAATAAAAATTATATATGAATGGCCAATGCATTTAAAGATGCCTAACATCATTATATACCAGATAAGTATAAGTAAAATCACAGCATGATGCCTCTGGAAAGCTCCTATATGATTGAGGGAATTAACATCAATCATGATATCCTCAACAATAATATATTAATGATTTGAGAAAGCATTAGTCCCATTATTTTTTTAATAAAGCATATATTTACTAACCTGCATTTTGCCCTAGAATAATGAAAGCATTTTTTGTCACAATAAGCATGTGTTCAAATCTACTCCATTCATAATACTTAAATACTAATGTTCACCAACTAGTCCATGAACAAGTGAATTATAGGGTATTGACCCAATGGAACACTGCTCAGTAATAAAAACAATACACTATAAATACATATGACAGCATCAATAAATCTTAAAAGATTCTTAACGGGCTATATAACTTACTGTTCTGTTTACATGAATCTGTAGAAGATATAAAACTATGGTGACAATAATCAGTGTGCTTTTATGTATTGGAAGTGGGAAAAGAGGACTGACTTTGAAGAGGCTTAGAAAACATTTTAGGGTCATCAAAATGCTCTTTGACATTTTGATCACTACATAGCTGTTCCATGTGCAATAGACTGAATTTTTTGTCTCCCCACATAACATATGTTGAAACCAAGGCCAGACTATGATGGTATTTGGATGTGGGGACATAAAGAGGTCATTAGGTCATGAGTGTAGAGTGCTCATGCATGAGATTTAGTATCATTATAAAAAAGTCTCCAGAGATCTCCCTTTCTCCTTCTTTGATGGGAGGATGCAACATGAAAATGGAAGTCTATAAACCAAGAAGCAAGCCTTTAGCAAACACTGAATCTGCTAGCATCTTAATCTTAGCCTTCTAAACCTCCAGAATTATGAGAAATAAATTTGTTATATATAAGCCACCCAATCTATGGTGTATTTTTAAAGCCTCCAAAATGGACTAAGACATGTATCAAAAATCATTGTACTGTGTGCTTTTAAAGAAGTAGAGTTTACTGTACATAAACTGTATTTCAGTAAATAAGACAACATACATTTCAAATATTATCAGAAATGTAAAATATTTAGGAATTTAGCCAACTACGTGTAAGAACTCCACAATGAAGATGGGATAATTTTGCAGCATAAAGAAAATGTTGAAATAGAGAACTATACCATGTCTGTAGTATATGGAAAACCATATTTTATTTTATTTTATTTTATTTTATTTTATTTAAAAACCATATTTTAAAGACATAAATTCTCGAGGTGCCTGGGTGGCTCAGTCAGTTAAGTGTTTGACTTTGGCTCAGGCCATGATTTCACAGTTTGTGAGTTCAAGCCCTGTATCAGGCTCTGTGCTGACAGCTCAGAGCCTGGAGCCTGTTTTGGATTCTATTTCTCTCTCCCTCTCTCTTTCTGCCCCTCACCTGCTTGCACTTTCTCTGTCTGTCTCTCTCTCTCAAAAGTAAAAAAAAAAAAAAAAAAACTTTAAAAATGTGAATTCTCATCAAATTTTTGA